CTCACCTCACACACTAGTAAAGTAATGCTTAAAATTCTCCAAGCCAGGCTTCAGCAATACATGAACCGTGAACTTCCAGATATTCAAGCTGGTTTTAGAAAAGGCAGAAGAACCAGAGATCAAATTGCCAACATCCGATGGATCATCGAAAAGGCAAGAGAGTTCCAGAAAAACATCTATCTCTGCTTTATTAACTATGCCAAAGCCTTTGACTGTGTGGATCACAATACACTGTGGAAAATTCTGAAAGAGATGGGAATATCAGACCACCTTAACTGCTTCTTGAGAAACCTATATGCAGGTCAGGAGGCAACAGTTAGAATTGGACATGGAACAACAGGCTGATTCCAAATAGGAAAAGGAGTACGTCAAGGCTGTATATTGTCACCCTGCTTATTTAACTTATATGCAGAGTACATCATGAGAAACGCTGGGTTGGAGGAAGCACAAACTGGAATCAAAATTGGTGGGAGAAATATCAATAATCTCAGATATGCAGATGACACCACCCTCATGGCAGAAAGTGAAGAAGAACTAAAGAGCCTCCTGATGAACGTGAAAGAGGAGAGTGAAAAAGTTGACTTAAAGCTCAACATTGAGAAAACTAAGATCATGGCATCTGGTCCCATCACTTCATGGCAGATATATGGGGAAACAGTGTCTGACTTTATTTTTCTGGGATCTAAAATCACTGCAGATGGTGATTGCAGCCGTGAAATTAAAAGACGCTTACTCCTTGGAAAGAAAGTTATGACCAACCTAGACAGCTTATTAAAAAGCAGAGACATTACTTTGCCAACAAAGGTCCATCTAGTCAAGGCTATGGTTTTTCCGGTGGTCATGTATGGACGTGAGTTGGACTATAAAGAAAGCTGAGCGCTAAAGAGTTGATGCTTTTGAACTGCGGTGTTGGAGAAGACTCTTGAGAATCCCTTGGACTGCAAGGAGATCCAACCAATCCATCCTAAAGGAGATCAGTCCTGGGTGTTCATTGGAAGGACTGATGTTGAAGCTGAAACTCCAATACTTTGGCCACCTGATGCGAAGAGCTGACTCACTGGAAAAGACCCTGATGCTGGGAAAGATTGAAGAGGGAGGAGAAGGGGACGACAGAGGATGAGTTGGCTGGATGGCATCACCGACTCGATGGACATGGGTTTGAGTGAACTCTGGGAGTTGGTGATGGACAGGGAGGCCTGGCATGCTGCGGTTCATGGGGTCGCAAAGAGTCGGACACGACTGAGCAACTGAACTGATCTGAATGAAACCAGCCTTAGAAAAGGGGAAGATCTCTCACTCCAAGGGCTGCTCTGAGGATGAAGGTGGATGACACATGTCAGGTACTAGGTCTAGTGTCCAGAAAAGAGGAAGTGCTCACCAAATCGCAGCTTCATCCAAAGGGCCACGCTCTCAGCTCCTCTCCCAGGCCTTCTTCAGTTAAACCTGACCCCCACCTTCTCCAGGGTCTCATGACCCCTTTGTTTGTCCTAGTTCATCCATCCATCCATCCATCCCACCCACCCATTCATCCATCCATCCATCTACCCATCCATCCACCATCAGCCCCCACAGAGCCATCCACTCGTCAGTTATTTACTGCGTACCCAGAATGCGCTGTGTTCTCTGCCAGGAGGGTAGGACATAATGACAAATGCAGCCCTAGTCCTTCCCCTCCTGGGGACAACCTTCGGGTGGGGGAGAGAGGCCATCAAAAAGTACCTACTACGTGGCATTCCAGCTGCCAGACTGTGTGCAGGGCGAACGTGCCCCACAGAGCCCATGGTGGTGGCACGTGACTTGCAGAAAAGTCACGTGAAGGGTGGGAGGTAAGGTCAGTGGAGAGAGCGTGATGGAACGTTGAGCTTAAAGTTGAGAGCAGGGCAGTCCTGGAGAGGTGACCGAGGACCTCGTAGTCACGTAAGGAACTTGAACTCTGTCCCGAGAAGCAGGCTTGGAGGGTGTCAAGCTCAGAAGGGCAGGTTAAGGTTCTGGTTCGGAGCCCTAAGTCCGGCTGCAGCCTGGACAGTGGGCTGGAGGGGATGGGAGTCGGGGATGGGCGGTGATGGTGCTGGGGGGCCTCTGGAGAGCTGGAGCAGAGACGCCCCAGGCAGGAGAGGGTGCTGGGAGCCGGGGCGGGGCAGGGGCAGGGGGTCGAGAACAGGATGAGCTCAGGAGATTCCCCCAGCTCTCTTTGTTTTAGCTTCTAAAGGTTTTAAATTTTGTTTTTTTGGCTGCACTGGGTCTTCACTGCCGCTCGCGGGCTTTCCCTAGCCGCAGGGAGCGCGGGCTGGTCTCTGGTTTCGGAGCTCGGGCTTCCCCTTGTTGTAGAGCAGGGGCTCTAGATGCTTGGGCTTCAGTAGTTGTGGCGCGTGGGTTTAGTTGCCCCATGGCACATGGGATCTTCCTGGGCCAGGGATCGAACCCCAGTGCCCTGTGTTGGCAGATGGATTCTTAACCACTGAACCATCAGGGACGTACCCCTGCCCTGACCCCCGCCCCGACCCCCGCCCACCGACCCCAACTCTTTATTGTGAAGTTTTTCACCCTGCAGGAAAGTTGAAAGAACCGTTGGCAACCACAGCGCCCACTTGGACTCAACAATCATGACCATGTTCCCCCCTTTTTCCTTCCTTCAGTAGAAAGATAGTGAGACAGGTCGATTTCTTTTCTCTGAACCACTTGGCAGTACATCACAAGTCCTTCATCTGAATCTCCTGGCTCTACATCATCTTCCCCCTGAACCACAAGACCAGTATCACACCAGAGAATCAACAGTTCGGCATCTGCTGTCCAGTCTGAGTTCAGATTTCCCCAGTTATTCCAGGAATGTCTTTCGGAGTTGGGTTTTATTTGTTTTGAGATCCAGGGACCTGTCGGAAAGTTTTCGGGATTGCATCTGGCTGCATCTCTTTGGCTTTTAAGGAAGCTTCAGGAGGTGGAATGTGCAGGGCTGGGTGAGTCACTAAATGTCGACGTTGGGGTGCAGGGCAGGGAGGAGTCAGGGTCTCTGGCTTGGGCGGCCCGCGTGAGATTCCGGGACGAGGAATTCTGAAATGGGGACAGATGTCCACAGAGGAGCGTCTGGCAGGCAGGGGGACTTGCAGGGGTGACTTGAGGGTCTCGGTGGGACACAGATTGGAGGCTGCCATAATAAGTGACCACAAACTGGGAGCCTTAAAACAACCGAGCTTTATTCTGTCGTGGTTCAGGAGACCAGAGATCTGAAGTCAAGGTGTCAGCATCTCTGAGCTCCCCGAGGGCCCAGGGAAGGATCCTTCTTGCATCTTCCAGGCTTTGGTGCTTTCTGGTGATCCTGGGGGTCCCTTGCCTCGCAGCTGCACGTGGTCTCTGCCCCCTTCTGGCACTTGACCGTCTCCTCTGGGTTTTTTCACACGATCCTCCTATAAGAACACTGGACTTGGAGTCCACCCTATTCCAGTGTGGCCCAATCTTAACTAATTACATCTGCAGAGACCCTATTTCCAAATGAGCTCACATTCCGAGGTTCCAGGTGAACCTGAATCTCAGGGGGGACACGATTCAACCCATTCCAGGGACTGTCACTGCCTAGTCAGCAGGGGATGAGATGGAGAGGCAGGCTCTGGGTGGAGCCCCGTGCGATCCCCATGGTTAAGGGGGTCTCCTCAGGGTGAGGAGCCGGAAAAAGGAGCCCAGGGGTTGGCCATAGCCGGGGGAGGGGGTGGGTATGGGGTCGGCAGGGCTGAGCGCTGCGGGTACCGAGTAAGACCCGCACCAAGCTGAGGGCTCTGGGTTCCGGAAAGAGAGCGGTTTCAGGGGAAAACCTAGACGGCCCGGGGTTTTGTTTTTAACTTTCACATGCTCGCCTTGGAGACTTCTTTGAGGCCAGCAGGGGAAGTGGCTCTGTTTATGCATTGCTGTCTTGCCTGGAAAATCCCATGGATGGAGAAGCCTGGTAGGCTACAATCCCCGGGGTCACAGAGTCGGAACGACAGGCGAATTCACTTTCTTTTCTTTCTTTTTTTGTTCTGATGCTGTCAGTTCTCCTCATGGACGAGGAGAACTGACATGAACTCCTCACCCCCCACACCTGCGTTTGTTCACTGTGACGCGCCCAGCCCCCAGGACCCTGCTGGCTGTAACGGGCACAGGGGGGGGTGGGGGTGGGGGTGGGGGTGGAAGGCACAAGAAGTGAACGGGCGACTGGGGCCAGCCTCCTGGCTACGGCGGACGGGCGTTTGAGCCATCCAAGGTCCTCAATGACGGAGAAGGGGCTCCCGGCCGCTGTTCGCCCCAGTGATCATCACCTTCCTGCTCCATCCCCAGCACAGGGGGTGGGGGCACACACGGAGCCCCCAGGAAGGAGACCTGCCCTGCCCCTGCCCCCCGGCCCCTGAGTATGGGAGGAAGGAGGAAGACTGCTTAGTAACAACTGCGGTCACATGGGGGTGGGGAGACTGCAGCCAGGGGCCCCTGCGCGTAGGAGGCGGCCGGCCACGCCACGTGGGGGTCGCTGACTGCTCATCCACTGCGTTCCTTTGGGGAGTGTGGTCTCTGCGTCTGCTCAGCAAACCCCTAGGCCCCTGAGGACTCCCTTTGACTCGTCCATAGCGGAGTCCCACGGTCCCAGGCTGGGCCTCCAGGGCGTCCGGCCTCCTCTCTCTGCACTCCTGGCCCCGTGGCCTTCAGCGCCATCCCCAAGCACCCCCCACCCTTACCCGGAAGCTCAGGAGACCCGATGTCTGTCGTTGACTTCAGACCCCTTCCCCTGAGCCGGCCCCTCGGCCTCCCTGCTGTGGACTCGCTCATGTCTCCTGCGGGGAGGGGCGGATTCTGGAGAACCATGGCGGGACTGTCCTCCTCTTACACCGCAGACAAGCCAGCCGAGCACGGAGAGGCAGAGGCATCTACCCACGGTCACACAGCAAGTGAGGAAGCCAGGATCCGGACCCAGACCCCCGTGCTCTGGCCCAGAGACACGGCGCCCCACAGAGCCTGAGGCTTGGGCTGACCGTTGCCACTTGGCGCCATCGCGTGGGCTGGAGCGTCACGGGCTGGCGGCCGATCTCAAGGGGCCCGTGGAAGCCGTCTTGTCCCGGCCTGTGCACCTGTCCGGGCTCCCTGGCTGTCATCTCGGGCCTGGGCTCAGCCTGGGGCCTGTGGTCTGGGCTCTGTGCGCCTGAGCAGAGACAGGCCAAGGGCCGGGGCACTGGGGGGTCTGAAGGCCAGGCGCTTCCAGACCTCCGTGTGGCCACCGGGGTCCTTGTATTTGCCCAGCAGGCGTCCTCCGGGCCCCACGCGCTGGCCCTGCCCGCCAGCCTGCCCTGTCTCCTCCACTTCCCGTCCCAAGCGGGCTTAGCTCAGCCCGGAGTCCAGAGAAGTCAGCCCCCAGCTCAGCCTGGCTGGCCACACCGCAGCGGTGAGGTTTGCTGGTCTGGTTGGGTTTGTTTTCTTGTTTTTATTAGGGGTCCTCATCCTTGTTCTCATGAGATACTGCAGCCTGTCATCTCCAGGCAGGTTGCTGCTTGGCCAGTGGGCAGGAGCCCGAGGCTCCGTTCCCACGCCCCCCTGAGCACCGGGGCACAGCTTTGTGGGGGTGGGGGGAAGGGGCCTGCAGGCGTGGGGAGGGGCGGGGCCTGCTCCTCCCAGCAGCTTGGCTTGTGGGTCCCCTCACTGTTCCAAGGTGGGCAGGAGCGGGGGCCAGAGAAGGGGTGGGAGGGAGGAACCCTCTTCTCTGGGAATTCTGGCAAAGCTGAGCCTGCCCCCCCGTTTCTTTGAGGAAAAGGGGTGAAGTGTCTTGTAGACACCCAGGCTTCGCGAAGGCTCTGCTCCCAGGCTTTGCTCTGCTGCTCCCTCTGCCTGGACCTTCCTCCCCGACTCTCCACAAATGACTAACTCTTACTCATCCTTTCTGTCCCACCTTCCACGCTGCTTCTTCCAGGAAGACTGCCTTGCTTTTCCCGGGCCAAGGGTGATGCTTCCCCCCGAGGCTCCCTTCCTCTGCACTCCTTCTGCTCCCACAGAAATAAGTTTCCTTGAGGGCCGAGGCTGCGTCCTCTCCCCCGCTATGTCCTCGACACCTGGCCCCACGGAACATCACAGGCTTGCCGTGGTTGAGGCAGGAGGTGGCCCAGTGACCTCACCCCTCCCTCCTCTCTCAGCACCAGGTTCATCGCCCCACTGCCTGAGGCTCTGGCCTCCCCCTCCCCACTGGGAGCTGGCCAGGAGCTGCCCCGAGACCTCGAAAGGCGAGAGGGGCTACTTGGCGGGGTGACCTCCTGGAAGAGGTGACTCCACGGCGTGAGAACTCAGTGACGGGGAGACATCAGCCATGAGAGAGGCGAGGCCAGGGTGTTCTGGGAAGAGAGAAACAGCCAGTGCAAAGGCCCAGAGGTGGGAACCAGCCTGGCAGGTTCGAGGGCCACAAGGGTGGCCAGCTGCTGGGCGAGCTGTGGATTCCAGCCCAAGTGTGTCAGAAGCCGGGGAGGAACCAGCCCTGACTCAGCCCGTGTCGCGGTGGGTGGGCTTTCTGGAGCCAGGGTGCCCGTTGAGCGGGGGGACAGGGCTCGAGGGGGACTCACGGTGGTCTCCACCCGGCAGCCACCCCTGTCCTGCAGACACTGGCCATCGCTTGAAGATACTCCCAGGAGGCACAGCAAGGACGAAAGCATCCGTGTGTGTGTGTGTGTGTGTGTGTGTGTGTGTGTGTGTGGTGGGGATGGGGGTAGGCAGGATCACAGCTTCTGGCCCCCAGAGGCAATATCAGTATTGCATGGTGAGAAATCGGTCAGGGGCAAGAGAAAACCAGTTTTTCTGCCACCCACAGGGATAGATCCCCGGGTGCAAAGAGCTTCCAGCCTTCGGGCAAAGGTGGAGTGTCTTCTGTCTGAAGATGTTTACATAGAGGTCAAAGTTACATGGTCAAAGGGTGTTAAATTGTTTGATGGAAAGGACCCTTCTTCTCTTCTCTTGTTGTCAGTGACTGTCTCGGGACTGGCTGTGTGACTGGTGCCGGCATCCCACTCGGGTCCCTGGGGATCTGATGAGGCGTGCCCACCTGGACCAGGCGCTTGACGCTCCCCAGCATCGCTTATCCCCGTGTGAGCAGCCTGAACCTCAGGCAGGAATGTACAGAAAACAAGCTCGACACTGGACTCCACATCCTGGGCCCTCTTAAAAAGCTGTCCATCCACAATAGCTCACTGATACAAGAGAACAGAGAGGAAAGTCTTATATGCTCCCCCGGACGCCCAGGTCCCGCCGCCCACCGGAGGACTAAAACGCGCCAGGACTGATCACGCCTCCTAGCACTCCCTGCTCCCAGCTCCCCTCCACGCCGCCCACGGGAACCAGGGCTTCACCTTTCTCTCCATCTTCCTGTGCTTCTCCTGCCTTGTGCCTGCTGCTCCGTGGTCTTACCCCCACATGGGATGGTAAGAGGGACAAACTGGACAGCTTCTTCCTTAAAATAGTTTTGTTTTTATTTTTCACCGTGCTGGGTCTTCGTCACTGCGAAGGCTTTCTCTAGTTGCGGCGAGCGGGGACTACTCTCTAGCTGGGGGGCCCGGGCTTATTTGCTCTGCAGCATGTGGGATCTTCCCGGACCAGGGCTGGAATTGTCCAGTCCCCTGCGTTGGCAGGTGGATCCTTGACCACTGAACCACCAAGGAACACCCCCCACCCACCACCACCACCAAACTGGACAGCTTGAGACAACAGAAATGTATTCTCTCCTATTCTGAGGGCCCTAGACTTTTTGACCAAGTGCTTCCATTCCCAGAAACCGAAATGAAGGTGTGAGCAGGGTTGGTTCCTTTGCGAGGCTCCGAGAAAGATTCCCTTCCATGCTGCTCCCGCAGCTTCCTATGGTGGCCAAAACTCCTCAGCGTTCCTGGGCCCGAGGGCTTCCCTTGTGGCTCAGATGGCAAAGAATCCGCCTGCCAATGCAGGAGTCACGGAAGATCCCTAGGTGCGGAAGATCCCCTGGAGGAGGAAATGGCAACCCATTCCAGCATTCCTGCCTGGAGAATCCCATGGACAGAGGAGCCTGGTGGGCTACAGTCCATGGGATTGTAAAAAGTCGGACACAGCTGAGTGATGCACGCACGCACATTTTTGGGCCACGGCCACATCCCTATGCCCTCTGCCTCCATCCTCACACGCCTTCTCCCTGTGGGTCTGTGTCCTCCCCTCCTTTAATGAGGACACATTCACTCTATGTGGGGCCCACCCTAAATGCTGGGCCGTCTCATCGTGACATCCGTAACTGGATTACATCTGCCAAGTCAGAGTTTCACAAGGACCAGGGGTGGGACACAGATATTTCTACCCTCCGCTGCACAGAGGAAGGTACTTAAACTGTACTTAGGGATGGAGGTGCTGATGCAAAAGTCTAGGGGCTGTTCCTGGCATGGCCTCTCCTTTGGGGTGAGACTACATCTTACACCTCGGGGTCCCCCACTGCCCAGTGGGATGGAGGAGATGAGGTCTGGTCAGGGCTTCTGGCAGCTCACTCAGGTGCCCGGGCAGGTCTGTTCAGACAGGCCTAGTGTGGACTTGGGGGGCAGCCAGGTCTCACCACCTCCACGTGGCTGCCACAGCACCGAGCTCTCGCCCACCGTCCTCCCCCATCAGACCAGCTCTGGGCAGCGCTGCCACTGGTCTCAGCTCTCCCTGCTCCCCGTCCTTCCCCGTGGGGCATGTCTCACCAAGTGATTGAAGAAATGACAGGCAATCCCTTCCTTAAGTCCTATCTCCTCCCCAGGATCCTGCCTGTCCTGTTCCTCCCTTCCTTGCTTGCAGGCCCTCTATCTCTCCGTGAGCGCTGAATGAAGGAGGTCGGGCGTGCATGATCCGGGCCCTTCCAGCCTGGTCTGAGGAGCCTGCAGAGTGGGCTGGGTCACGGTGCGGCGCTTGGCTGGTCCAGCAGGTGGGACTGCTCACCCGCTTCTTGCTGGGGCTCGAGGCAGAGCGACAGGCAGGCGGACAGAGTTCCGCCAGGCCCTGCCTGCTGACCTAGAGAACCCCAGCCTCCCCCACGCCTCGCCCTCTGTCCTCCCCACGCACAGGACCTGCTGCAACTTCCACGCTGCAAAACCAGATAAAGAGAAACCGTGCGTCCCCATCCTGCCCGGGTGGAAGCCCAGACCAGCTGGTGGCGTGAATTATGAGGCCAGGTCCAGGGCTGGGCGGTTCCCAGAAGCCCGGGGAATCAGCTCTCGGAAATCCCTTGGGGTGGCACCTCAGGGCGCAGTGTGGGCGGTTCTGTGCTCCAGGCGCCCTGCTCCTCCTTGCTACCTGGAACCTTCCTGCCTTCACAGGCTTTGCTGTGACCTTGGGGCAGGGGAGATGTTAACTCGGGGCTAAATATTTTAATCCAGATTTAAAAAAAAAAATCCCCAACCCCAGTGCCCAAGAAATGGGCCTCATTTCTCCTTCTTTGTCCCGAACCACAGCCAGCAGGTTCCGAGAACTCTGGGCGGCAGGGGACAGCGGTGGTGTTCCCCGTCAGCCCCCGCCAAGTCTCAGGCCACCCCTGCCATCACCATCTCATCATCCCGGCCAGGGAGAGGCGCGGCCAGAGGGGCTGGCTGGGCAGCGGGCAGCGGGCAGCGGTGGAGTCAGGGTGAGGAGGGCAGGAGGGGGCCAGGGCCCCGTGGGTTTCGAGCAGGCGGTCCAGGCTCCGTTCACGGGAAGCAAGTCTGCCTCGTATGTCGGACTCCTACTACTGTGAGCTAAACTTGCATGCCCTCCAAAGAAGTGGAGGGCAATAAGCATCGGATGTGAAGATCAGTGCGGCACAAGAAAATCACAGGTGCCTCGTCCAGTCTTGTCCAGTCCTTTGAGACCCCATGGACTGTAGCCCACCAGGCTCCTCTGTCCACGGAATTCTCCAGGCAAGAATACTGGAGTGGGTCACCATTCCCTTCTCCAGGGGATCTTCCCAACCCAGGGAACCAACCCATGTCCCCCAAATTGCAGGCAGACTCTTTACCATCTGAGCCACCAGGGGTGCCCTAAACACGGTATAAACACACACAATTAGACAAAACTAAAAGCCAGGATAAACACATCTGCCTCCGGCCACAAAGAAAGGCAAATGGTCATTAACACCTTATAGTTCCACCAATGAGGTAGAAAGAAATTACTCTAGATGTTCTTCAGGTGTGGTAGTAAGGATATAATTAAAAAGTGGGGACATAATTTAGAAATGAGAATCTCGGGTATTTCCAAATTCTGGGGTTTTTTTTTTCTTCTTTTTGTGGCTGCGTGGCTCGGGGGATTTTATTTCCTTGACCAGAAACTAAACTAAGACCCTCAGCAGTGAAAGTACTGAGTCCTAACCACAGGACCGCCAGGGAAATTCCTCCAGATACATTTTTTTTTAATTTTATTGTCTTTGTTTGGGGAGGGAGGGGAGAGAATAACATTACATATTTGTTGTCGTTCGTCATTCAATCGCTCAGTCATGTCTGACTCTTTGCAACCCTATGGACTACAGCAAGCCAGGCTTCCCTGTCCTTCACCATCTCCCAGAGTTTGCTCAAACTCATGTCCATTGCATTGGTGATGCCATCCAACCGTCTCTTTGTCTGTCGCCCCCTTCTCCTCCTGCCTTCAATCTTTCCCAGCATCAGCATCTTTTCCAATGAGTCAGCTCTTTGCATCAGGTGGCCAAATTATTAGAGCTTCAGCTTCAGTATCAGTCCTCCCGATGAATATTCAATACTGATCTCCTTTAGAATGGACTGGTTGAATCTCCTTGCAGTCCAAAGGACTCTCAATAGTCTTCTTCAACACCACAGTTGGAAAGCATCAACTCTTTGGCGCTCAGCTTTCTTTATAGTCCAACTCTCACATCCATACATGACTACTGGGGAAACCATAGCTTTGACTATATGGGCCTTTCTCAGCCAAGTAATGTCTCTCTCTCTCTCTTTTTTTTTTTGTATAATATTCTATGTTTGTCATAACTTTTCTTCCAAAGAGTAAGCATCTTTTAATTTCATGGCTGCATTCGCCATCTGCAGTGATTTTGGAGTTCAAGAAAATAAAGTCTGTTGCTGTTTCCATTGTTTCCCCATCTATTTGCCATGAAGTGATGGGACCAGATGCCATGATCTTAGTTCTCTGAATGTTGAGTTTTAAGCCAACTTTTTCACTCTCCTCTTTCACTTTCATCAAGAGGCTTTCATTCCTCTTCACTTTCTGCCATAAAGGTGGTGTCATCTCCATATTTGAGGTTATTGATATTTCTCCCGGCAATCTTGATTCCAGCTTGTGCTTCCTCCAGCCCAGCGTTTCTCATGATGTACTCGGCATATAAGTTAAATAAGCAGGGTGACAATATACAGCCTTGATCTACTCCTTTCCCAATTTGGAACCAGTCTGTTGTTTCATGTCCGGTTCTGACTGTTGCTTCTTGAACTGCATACAGGTGTCTCAGGAGGCAGGTAAGGTGGTCTGGTATTCCCATCTTTTGAAAAAATTTCCACAGTTTGTTGTGATCCACACAACATAGTATAGCATAGCATAGCTTTAGCATAGTCAGTGAAGCAGAAGTAGATGCTTTTTCTGGAATTCACTTGCTTTTTCGATGATCCAACGGATGTTGGCAATTTGATCTCTGGTTCTTCTGCCTTTTCTAAATCCAGCTTTAACATCTGGAAGTTCTCAGTTTATGTACTGTTGAAGCCTACCTTGAAGGATACATAACATTATTAGTTGCTAAATTCAGATTCATTTTTAAAACAATGTTCTCAATGGGGTAAAAGGTATGTTGTGATCCTTGAGCTGGCCCTGGCCATTCCAGCTTAGACTAGTCAATGTTCAGAGCTGGTAAATGGAAATGTGATAAGCAGGAAGTTAACCCTGCAGGTGGGGAGATGACCAGTGGATCTACATCACAGATTGCCAAGGATGCCGCTGAAGCCAGCTGTCACGGGAAGAACTGTGTCCTTCCCCAAATCATGGGCAGGAGTCCTGACCCGCCGCACCCCAGATGTGACTGAATCTGGAGATGGGGACTGTCAAGAGTTGATTAAGGTAAAATGTGGTCACTGGGGTGGGTTCTAATCCCACAGGCCTAGTGTCCTTATAAGGAGAGAAAGTTAGGGCACGACGTACACGCAGAGGGACGGCCCTGTGTGGACATGGGCAGAAGACAGCCGTCTACACACCAAGGAGAGAGGCCTCCGGAGGGACCAGCCCTGCTCACACCAGCTCAGACTGCAGCCTCCAGGACTGGAGACAGTGAATGTCTGCTGTGGAAGCCTCCCGAGGCCGTGAAATGTTGTTATAACAGCCCTAGTGAACTAATATACATGCCAATCTCAAGCAAAATGTTTTTCAGCCCCCCCCCTCTTTTTTTGCATGAAATACCAAGCCCTTGATTCCTAATTAACTTGGTAAAGATGGACACCAGGCAGTCCAAGGCAAAGATCCAAAATGCACATAAGAGCTCTTAGCTTGACACATGGACGCATCAGTTGGTCGATGCCAATCGCACGTCTGTCCACCTGTTTCTGGCTTCTCCCCCATGGAAGCTTACTGACCAACCCATGTAACAGTAGGGGTTGGGGGAGCAGGAGGGCAGAGAGGAGCTCTTGGCCACGGGGCGACCTTAGCGCTGCATCTCAGTGTGGAGGATCCAACCGATGTGAGCTCATCTCAAGAGCCATTCCTGGCCACAGCACATGCGATTTTCAAACCAGATGCAGTTTTTCACTTACTCATCTGTTTCTCTGCCTGGACACTCAGCCTGCTGACCTGACTTATTGATGTATTTCCAGCACCTGGCCCGGTGCCTGGCGTAAAGTGGCTCAACGTGATCACGTCTATTGAATAAATAAATGGAATGGGTAAAAATGGCAACATCTCACAGCTATCATATCATTCGTCAAAGTTAGAGTGATTTTAAGGAGGTGTCGGGGAGAAAGAAAAAGCTTTCCCAACTGCAATGAGATCATTCACTCATTCAAGGAAGGAGCTCAGACAACACACCCGTTTCTTGTTCTGCCTCCCGGGGCCGTGGGGGCGGGTGCTGGTTGGCAAAGCTTCTCGGTGTTATCCTCATTCCTAAGTCAGCACTCACGGTGTCCAAATTCCCAACAGATACTCATCTTTGAGACTTGGGAACGAGGTATTAGAATTCCCCAAACCCTAATTACCCTGTATTTCTCCAAACACTGTAGTTATATGATTTCAATAATGATGGACCCTAATAAGCAGGTTCAGAGGTTTTCTGTAAAAAAAAAAATCATGTACTTGTGGCTTTTGATTATCATAAACTAATAGATTTTGATGATATTGCATATTTTAATAGTGTGTGGAAAGGATCTCTATCTGATGCAGACACTGGATAACAGAAAACATAAAAAGAAGGGACTATTAGCAAATGACAAATGCCAATTAAAAATCGTTTTAACGAGGATGAACCTAGAGATTGTCATGCTAAGTGAAGTTAAGTCAGGGCAAAACAAACACCATATGATATCATTTATATGTGGGATTTAAAAAACATGATACAAAGGAACTTATTTACAAGACAGGAAGAGACCCACAGACTAAGAAAATAAATTTCTGGTTACCAAAGGGGAAAGATGAGATGGATAAATTAGGAGTTTGAGATTAACGTATACACACTACTATATGTAAAATAGATAAACAACAAGGACCTACGTATACCACAGGGAACTGTACTCAATATCTTGTAATAACCTATAATGGAAAAGTTTATATATGTCTCATATATATATATGCATACCAGAAACTAATACTACTTTGTAAATAAAATATTCTTCTATTTTAAAAATAAATGATCAAAAATTTAAAGATAATTCCACAAATATATGATACTTAAAAGACTAATTGCTGTCTGACAGTCTTGAGCCTTTGTTTCAAGACAAATATTCCAGTCGTAAAACTTCTTTCACTTGATGATGTTAGTCAGATATTAAGGAGTCCAAAGCATTCTTCAGGTTGAGCAAGAGGAGAGTTCCAGTTGTTTTTTTATTATGATAAGATATATAGAACATAAAAGTCACCACCTTAACCCTTTCTACATGTATGACTCAGTGGCATACATTATATTCACATTGTTGTATGACCATCCCCACCACCCATCTTCAGAACACTTTCATCTTCCTGGACTGGAAACCTGTCCCCATTAAACACTCACTCCCCATTCCCATAGCCCTGTTCTGGGTCCCCACCATCCTACTTTGTGTCTTTATGGATTTAACTCACCTGAAAGATGCTTTCTCCTTGGAAGAAAAGCTATGACCAACCTAGACAGCATATTAAAAAGCAGAGACATTACTTTGCTAACAAGGTCCGTCTAGTCAAAGCTGTGGTTTTCCCAGTAGTCACGTATGGATGTGAGAGTTGGACTATAAAGGAGGCTGAATACTGAAGAATCGATGCTTTTGAACTGTGGTGTTGGAGAAGACTCTTGAGAGTCCCGTGGACTACAAGGAGATCAAACCAGTCCATCCTAAAGAAAATCAACCCTGGATATTCTTTGGAAGGACTGATGCTGAAGCTGAAGCTCCAATACTTTGGCCACCTGATGCGAAGAACTGACTCCTTGGAAAAGCCCCTGATTCTGGGAAAGATTGAAGGCAGGAGAAGGGGACGACAGAGGATGAGATGGTTGGATGACATCACTGACTCATTGGCCATGAGTTTGAGCAAGCTCCGGGAGATGGTGATGGACAGGGAAGCCTGGCATGCTGCAGTCCCTGGGGTTGAAAGGAGTCAGACATAACTGAGTGACTGAACTGAGTGACTGACTCAGGAACCTCCTGTGTGTGGAATTTTTCCTTTTGTACAGGCATATTTCACTTAGCATCATGTCCTCAAAGTTCATTCACAAAGTCACTTTTTCCCAGCTTTTTCTCTCTTGTAGTTGATTTCTAATCTCATAGTGTTCTAGTCAGAAAAAATGCTTGATATAATTTCAGTTTTCTTAAATTTGCCAAGGCTTGCTTTGTGGCCTCCACTGTGATCTGTCCTGGAGAATATTCCATGTGCACTTGAAAAGAATGTGCATTCTGCTTTTGGAGGTAGAACACTATAGATATCACTTAAGTCCATCTGGCCTAATGTGTCATTTAAGTCATCTGGCCATATTGATTTTCTGTCTGGATGTTCAGTTCATTGATGTAAGTGGGATGTGAAAGTACCCCACTATTAGTGTGTTACTGTTGATTTCTCCTTTTATATCTGTTAACATTTGCCTTATATATTTAGGTGCTCCTGTGTTGGGTGTATATATATTTATAATTATTCTATCTTTTTCTTGGATTGATCCCTTGATTATTATGTGGTGTCCTTCTTTGTCTTTTGTAACAGCCTTTATTTTAAAGCCTATTTTGTCTGATATGAGTATTGCTACTCCAGCATTCTTTTGATTTCAATTGTCATGGAATACCTGTTTCCATCGGAATACCTGTTTCCATCTCCATGAGTTCACTTTTTTAGCGGTGAAATTTCGTCTGCTTCACAAAACCATAGCTTACAGCGAATATTCAAACAGTGAGATGTGGGCACAAGGTATTATTGGGTGGGACTCAAATCACGCAACACTGAGATCCCTGAGAAAGTTTAACAGCCTTACACAGAATCACACGTTAAAATCACCAATTTAAGGGCTTGTTCATTTATTCCTTAGAACACCACTCATAGCAGGTGTGTGAAGTGTCCTGTGTGTATAAACTCAATCGTATTTACTTTATTCACGAGAATGGTTCACCCTGGCAGAGACAGGGCCCTGGGCAGGCGCTTGCCACTGCGCCACAGCCATAGCCAGACGGGCTTCGTGGTGGCTGATCCGGCACCTGTGCTTCTGACCTGGTTCCCGGACGGCGACCGCGTCCGTCAGCTGCACGTGGCGGTGCCTCCTGCCCTTGCTTTTTCTTCCTCCTGTGGAAAACAGAGTTCAATGCAGTTTATTTCTGCATTGCAAACCCAAGAAATATGAAAGTATCATGGGAAAAAAAAGTGCTGTATTAATTTATGGCAGCAATTCTTGAGATAAAATACGACACTAGATAATAGTTTTTATGACTCTGCAGTAAAAGTTGACAGAGCCAACAATGGTTTTTTGTTTAATTCTCTTCCAAGTCTACAGACATAATTCTGCCTTCACCTGCATCACACTTTACTGTGGTTTTCACAAGGGACACACCTCCTTTTCTAAGAATCCCTGTACCTGCCGGGATGTACGGCTGGTGAAAGAAGGATCTGGTAAACAGTCCAATTGGGAGTGGGCTGGACTGAAGTAGGCATCAGCCTGGATGCTCTCGACGACGTCATTGTCACCTCCTTCCTGCTTGACCAGGGCAGCTGCCTGCTGCGTGAGCACTCTGATTTTCTCATGGCAAGCCCGGTGGTTCCCCCAGGCTTTCACCATGGCCATAATGATGTTCTCTGTGGCCGTGAAAGGCAGCTCCTACAAAACACGCCGCTCAGTTACAGTGGGGTATCCCACCAATACTTCAGAAATGTTCTGCAATGTATTTAATATAGTATCTGCAGTGAGAAGGACTTGCCTCCTAGCTCAGTTGTTAAAGAATCCACCTGCAATGCAGGAAACCCTGGTTTGATTCCTGGGTAGGGAAGATCCCCTGGAGAAGGGATAGGCTACCCACTCCTGTATTCTTGGACTCCGCTTGTGGCTCAGCTGGTAAAGCATCTGCCTGCAATGTGGGAGACCTGGGTTCGATTCCTGGGTTGGGAAGATCCCCTGGAGAAGAGACTAGCTACACACTCCAGTATTCTTGCCTGGGGAATCCCAGGGACAGAGGAGCCTGGTGGGCTGTAGTTCGTGTGGTCACAAAGAATCAGACACGACTTAGCAACTTTCACTTTCTGCAGTGAGAAACGCCTCAGCCAAACAGATTCATCGGTTGGCACGGTCATCGAGTGTGTACAAACCACGGCACAGATGCTGTCTGCAGGGGGTCCATGACAAGGGTCATCAGGTGACGGGCCAGGCTGCGACACTGCTCTGAGTGTGTAGGGGTTGCACTTGAGCCCATCTGCTGTTTTTCAAAGGGTTCCTCCAACTCCCTGAGGTTTGCCAGGAGTCGTATGTCGGTACAAATCCTGTGCACCCATGCCCCCAAGCGAGTCAGCACAGAGAGCACCTCACCATCTACTTTTCGCGTGTGGGTCTGCCCTGTGATGGAGAAAGCCCACTTGAATCCTGCCTTTTCTGTCGCCATCTTGTCAAGCTGCTCTCCCTTTTACTCATCTCCCTCGGAGAGCTGCAGGAAGCTGGCCTGGTTGCCAGTGGCGCCCTTCACGCTTCGGAAGTGCAGCTCATCCCGGACACACTTCAGGTTCTGGAGATTCATGCCCAGATCCTGAATCCAGAGACGGCAACGCTTCCCAACTGTGGTCAGCTGAACAGGCTGGAAATGTGTGAAACCTAAGGTGGGAAGGTCAGCTCATTCCTTAGCAAAGTCGGCAAGCAGAGAGATCACCCTGACAAGCTTTGGCCAAAGCAGGTCAAATGCATTTCTAAGAACAATCAGGTCTGTATCGTCTCCCACATAGCAGGAGGTGGCTCCAGGATGGGTAATGCCAGCAGCTTTGGGGCAGCAGTGGGCAAACACGTGCACGTGAGTCATCACATCACGTCATAACTGCTTCTCCTCAGCTCCCATCTTGAAGTCAGCGTTGTCCAGGTTAGATTTCACCTCCTGGATTTGTTCATCTGTGTTAGGCAAACCCAGTGTCTGCTCGGCCTCCGCCAGCCACAACCAGAGCAGCCGCCAGGTCTGAAATTTGTACCTGTTACTAAACAAGAAGCACATCTCCGGGCTGGCATAACAGGAGGCAAGCGGCAAGTGGTATCTGTCGTGCCCGCGGGCTGCCTCCATCCGGACATGGTCGCCCCTCCGCTGCCATCCGGAACTCTGCACCCCTCTGCAACTGCCTGCCCTTGCTTTTGACCCCATCAGTGAATTCCTTCCAACCAGTAACCTCTTCATGTGGACTATCTCATTCTCAAAAGAGAATGCTTTTCCCTTTGTCTCCATGTATCGACTGGTTTTTCGCACTATTTGGGATTGGCTAAAATGTAACTTTCCTGAGAAACTGTGGGAAGGAATTCCTGCCTGGAAACCCAATGGGCAGCGTTTTCCCCCTGTGGCCTCAGGAAGCTGCCACAGCTTCCGGTCACGTGTTCTGAAGGTCAGGGAGCAGACAGGAGGAAGAACCAGAGACTTTCTCCCCACACTGTTCTCCTGACAGAGAGGGAGAAGTGAAGTGAAAGTTGCTCAGTCATGTCCGACTCTTTGTGACCCCATGGACTGTGGCCCACCAGACTCCTCTGTCCCTGGGATTCTCCAGGCAAGAAGACTGGAGTGTGTAGTCATTCCCTTCTCCAGGGGATCTTCCCAACCCAGGGATTAAGCCCGGTCTCCTGCATTGCTGGCAGATTCTTTACCATCCGAACCACTCTGGAAGCCCGATGACAGAGAGGGAAACCCCACAAATGCCTGCACTGTCGCTTATGTGGTATTGAAGAGATTAGGGTCCAGTCACTCTCTTAGCCTTGCAGGGGCAAAGGGCAATGAGATGTCAGAAGACTCAGCTGAATCCTGACTCTCTCCAGGGTGGATGGGCACGGCGCGGATGAAAGGGACGACCTCAGGTGATGATTTGTTGTCGTTGTTCAGCCGTTCACTTGTTTTCGACTTTTTGCAACCCCATGGATGCATGCCAGCACGCCAGGCTTCTCTGTCCTTCACCATACCCCTCAGTTTGTTCAGACTCATGTCCATGAAGTTGCTGGTGCCATCCAAACATCTCATCCTCTGTCGCCCCCTTCTCCTACCGCCCTCAATCTTCCCCAGCATCAGGGTCTTTTTCAGTAAGTCAGCTCTTCGCATCAGGTGGCCAAAGTATTGGAGCTTCATCTTCAGCATCAGTCCCTCCAGTGAATATTCAGGACTGATTTCCTTTAGGATGGACTGGTTTGATCTCCTTGGAGTCCAACGGACTCTCAAGAGTCTTCTCCAGCACCACAGTTCAAGAGCATCAATTCTTCACGCTCAGCCTCCTTTATGGTCCAGCTCTCACATCCATACACAACTGCTGGAAAAACCGTAGCATTGACTAGATGGCCCTTTGTTGGCAAAGTGATGTCTCTGCTTTTTAATATGCTGAGGTTTATCATAACTTTTCTTACAAGAAGCAAGCATCTTTTAATTTCATGCCCACAGTCACCATCTGCAGTGACTTTGGAGCCCAAGAAAATAAAGTCTGTCACTGTTTTCATTTTCTCCTCATCTATTTGCTGTGAATAATAACGATCGCCCTATACAACTTGCATAACCCTTAAAGCCACCCTATGAGGTGGTTCTATCATCTTCATTTTAGGAATGAGGAAATGGAGGCCCAGAGAGGTCAAGCAATTTGTCTAAGAATGCACAGCCATGGTACAAAGAAGCAGAGCCAAGACTTGAACTAGCCCACCAGGCTCCAGAGCCTACATTTGTAACTACTGTGCAAAATGTCTTTCAAAGAGTGGCCTGATGACTGGCCTGGGCAGGGAGCCAGTGGGACTGCCAGGACAGTCACCTCTCGTCTCCATCTGTGAGTCTCACAATGTCCCACTGTAATTATTCCTGTCTACAGATGAAGAGACTGAGGCTTAGCATGGGTATGGACCTCACCCAAGGTTAAGGTAGATGTCAGTGCTGGGGCCCCAGCTGAACCTTTGGAGAGTCTGAACTACCTGCCTGGACCCTTCTTCCTCCAATTGCTGGGTGTTTTTATTGGATCGGCTCTATGTGAAGCACATAATGAAGTTGTCAAGAGAAGCAAGTTGCAAGGAGTTTATGACTTGCTTTTAAAATATAATTGCACAGATGCAAGAAAGAGAAGTCTTCATGCCCGTGTGGGAGCCCTGAGATCCTCGAGGAGCTAGTGCCTCCCCGTGAGCGGCACTGCTGGGGCAGTGGGGCGTGTCACAGACCAGGATGGGGAGAGGCTCGCAGACCCGACACGGGTGCCAGACTTAGTGCCTTGGTGGCCCCGCATTGGTCTAGGGATTCTGTCCCCAGCTTTGAGGGCCTGGGGACTCTTTCTGATGTAACGTCACAATAACTGGCTTTAGAGTCAGTGTGGGGTTAGCCCCAGCTTCTACTGAACCATGAACTGCGGGCATTGGGCAGGTAATCTGGTCCCTCCACGTCTCAGTGCTCATCTCCGTGAAAGGAAAGAGGATACACTGGGGAGGATTCAGTGAGGTTCTATGAGTAAGGGGTTCCCTGTAAATGCTCTGCAAAGGGGATTTTCTCCTTGAGGCTCTTGGGGATGAATGTGCACCGACCAAGCTCCCGACAGGTTCAGCCACGGACCAGAACTTCAGCTAGCTGGGTGACTGTGGGAAACAGAGTTGCCATGGAAACGGCAACACACAGGCCCGTGACCTTCCCTGCTTACTGGCCACTGGGACCTCAGTTTCCTCCTGTGTGTAGTGGGAAGGCTACAGGAGCAGCCATGTGGGAAATGATTTTCAGAACTGCATAGACAGAAACAGCCTTCTTTCTTTTCCTTTCTCCTTGTTTGCCAGCCATCCCCCACCCCCCATTCCCACCCCATTGGCCGGGATCCTGGGAAAGCCAAATAGGGTTGGTTCTAATGGTTAAAGTCTTGGAGCTAGTGAAGCCCAGGGCCCCCGCCTCCTCTGCAGGGGACAGGATTCTTGGGACAGCACTGAGACCCACTGATAAAATGCTTAGTCCTTGGGGGGTCCCTTCAAGAGACCATTCCTTCTCACAAGCATAGTGGCTAGATCAGCAGTTAAGCCCCTAGTTCACTCAAGGTTCCAGTCCCAGCTCTTCTCAAATTAGCTGGGTGCTGCTGCACAAATGCTTTTTGCATCTCTGAGCTTCAGCTCTTTCCTCTTGAACGGAGAGCCACAGCCTCCACCACCTGCCCTCAGCTCGGACCTATGTTCCCCTACCCTTCCAACAGTACTGCCTACCACCATTCAGTGGGATTTCTCTGGTAGTTCACATGGTAAAGCATCCACCTGCGATGCAGGAGCCCCAGGTTCAATCCCCGGGTCGGGAAGATCCCCTAGAGAAGGAAATGGCAACCCACTCCAGAGTCTCGCCTGCAGAATTCCATGGAGAGAGGAGCCTGGTGGGCTACAGTCCACGGGGTCATAGTGTCGGACACGACTGAGCGACTAACGTACACACACACACACACACACACACACACACCATTCATTAGGTTGCTTTGCATATTCTAATAGACTTAGGACAAACTCAGATCTCTGTGACCGAGGCCAGGCCACACACTTATCTCACAGGAACCCTCCTCCTGAGCCCCGTACATTTCTAGACAGGGGAGGTGAACCAGGCCACACTCAAAGCCGACATCTACATCATCTGGAGAGTCAAGCTGGCAGGCACATTTGTGAAAACACAACTCTGGCCACAGTAAAAAAAAAAAATTCTCCACACCTGTACCTCCAATATTTTATTGACTTTTAATAGAAGAATTGGAAAGAAAACATTTTCCATGCTCTTTGTTTTCCTGACTGAGCCTCTGAAATATTTTTCAGGTAGATACTTCTGGTAAAGAGTTTAGTTGAGTGATATAAATTACTACATTGAAATTTCATCTGAGCTTCCTGAAAGCAATTTTCCATGGTTTGTTCTTGCCTAGGTTTTACTAAAGTAACATTGGTGGGGGGTTTTCCACTAATGATAAAAAAGGATGTACATTCATGATAAAGTATCTGGATAGCACAAAGAAGAAAGTGAAAACTTCCCACAGTTCTCCTCAAAGACAACCACTGCCAACAGGCTGACATTAACTCTTTCCAAGAGTATCTATGTACAGGCATATATAGAGAAACATAGAAGAATTGGATACAGTAACAATGTTTTCCTATATGGACATACGTTTCCTTTTATAAACTCGAGACTAAAACTGAATTTTAGTTTTCCAGAATATTTCATCTCATGTAAAACTCATTAAAATTTTATCAGTTTGATTAATAATATTTAGAATTTTTCAGATACAAGATAACAAATTTTACATAATACATACTTTATCTAAACACAAACTGTTTTTTTAATATAGGCTCACACTGTATATTCTTGTGTGTAACTTGTTATTTTTTAAAATCTTTTCCCATTTAAAAAATTAAGGCAAAAAAAAATTAAGGCATAAATAACATATTAATGTACAGTTCTGGGGACTTCCCTGGTGGACCACTAAGACCAGATGAAGCCAAATAAATAAATAATATAGTAAAAATAAAATATCTAGAAAATGTACAGTTGTGTGAGATTTGATCAGCACATGTAGTCATGTAACCACCATTACAATCAGGATGAGGAATTTTGCCTGTAATTTGGTGGTCATCTAAAATACACCATCAAGCTTTCTTGTCATTTGCAGTGCAACGATTTAACCAGTCTTTTTTTTTTGCTGGTCATTGGAGGTTGTTTACGATTTTCCTCTTACTGATTTGGCAATCTGAGGGAATGAAATGAATGAATGAAAGCGAGTGAAATCTGGGATTCTCATTTTCCTGCTGCTCTACCAAATGGGCTGGGCTTCTCCCTTCTCTGCTTGGAAAACTGCACATCCTGAGACCCAGCCCAGATGTTTCCCTCTGTGAAGCCCTCGTGATGCCAGATGGAGAGTTGGTTCCCCCTCTTCTGTGGTGCCAGGACGCCCAGTCACACACTCTATAGGACAGGTATTGTGATAGTCGGTTTCTCTTCCCCGCTCCAGGCTGTGAGCTGGGCGAAGGTTGAAGTCTTTGGCAGTCTCCTGTTCCCCACACCTGGGCCATGCCTGGTTCACAGAGCTCTGTAAATGGTCATGAAATCAGTGAACATTTCACCCTGTGGACAGTTTCAGTACTGTGCTGATCTCTTAGGATGCAGGTACCTTCTGAGCATGGCTGCAATATGGGCTGCATGAATTAAGCTGGTAACTTGGGGACAGCTGGATCTTCATCTTTGTTCCAGACCCAGGATCAGGGGTACAAATTCATATTTATATGGAGTCATTCATATATTTATTGAATGAACAAATACATGAACGAAAGGTGTGGTCCTGGACCTCTTAGCACCTGTTCTTGGTGAGTTCACAACTGGGACTCAAGGAATTCACCTTGGAAGTCTTCACACTTCCCCTCTCCTGCCCCCTCCACCCCCACGCCCCGCCCCCATGCAGTCTTTCCTTAAAGGGATACCCTGGTGGCTTAGACTTAGCCAAACAGTGGCCAGCATCACTTGGCAACAATGCCCAGACACTTCAGCTTGTGATCCAGGAGACAGACCTTGAGTGGTGAGCACCTGCTTTAATTTATTTAAAGTACACTTATTAATATCTGTATCTGCAAGGTCTAGCACAGGACTTGGTGCATAGAAGGCATTTTTAAACGTTTGAGCAAGGATGACATATGGCTATGAAAGGGATAACAACGTTTGAGAAAGATAAAAATGCCCGTCGTTCGCTGAGTACTTCCCGAATTAGGTTCCTGACTAGGTGGCTCCCTACAAATTCCGTTTCTTAGAACAACCCTGGGGTGGGTCTGTATCATTCATTCTCCCATCTTGCAGGTGGGCTCCCCCATTACTCAGGCCCACACTGCGGGGAGAAGCGTCTGCTGGAAGTTGAAGCTGGAGCGTCTGGCTCCAAAGTTTGCCTTCTCGGCGTCGCGCCCAGGAGCGTCCACATCACACTGCCACCTGTCTCCTCCGGTGCTGCAGGTGAAGCTCGGTAACGGGTCTTGCGTTGAGACCGCGTCCTTCCTGCAAAGATGGGTTCCTGGGAGGCTCCAGAGGCCTGTCCGCAGGCTGTGAGCAGGTGACTTGCAGCGAGGCGCGCTCTACCATCAGGTGTGTATGTAGCGGCGACCTTCGGTAAATGTCCGGCTCAGAACCTGACGCCAGTGGACGCTCGATGACGGCCTTTGGTGAACCCCGACGGCTGTCAGCGGAGATCTGGAGACAGCCCCATATGGAAGATCCTGCCCCCGACGCGGCACAGACCCGGGACCCGGGAGTCCAGAGCCTCGGCTTGGCAGCGGCGCACCCACCTGGGCGGGGCTAGGGGCGGGGCTCGACAGCGGCCCACCCACCCGGGCGGGGCTTGGGGGCGGGGCTCGAAGTGTGGCTTGAGGGCGGGGTCTGGGGCGGGGCTTTGGGCATGGCCAACTCTGAGCCCGAGGGGCCAGTCCGCCCCACTGAGGAGGCGGTGGCACTTGCGCACTCGGCCGCCCCCGCGCGCCTCTCCGGGGGTGGGGGACGGGGCGGGGCGTGCCGGCGGCGCTCGGCGCTGACGCCGCGCCGACGCGCCCGACGTCGGGCACGTTGACGCCGGCGACGCGCCGCCGGGCCCGCTCCTCCTGCGCTCCGCCAGTGTCCGGCCGCGGGCCGGCCTCAGTGACTGGGGGCGGCGGACGCGGGGTCGCGGGTCCGCGGGGCGCGGGGCGCGGGGCGGGCGGCGGGCGGCGGGCGGCGGGCTGCCTTCGTTGGGCCCGGAGCTCGCCTGGAGCGAGCAGCCGCCCGCGGAACGTCCTCGCCCGCTCCCGCCGGCGAGCAAGGTAAGGCAGCGGGGCACCGAGGCAGGGTCGGGGCGGAGCGGGGCCCCGGGCGGCGCGCGGCTGCTTAGTGTCAGCGCCCGGGCGCGGCCCGGGGAGACCCCCGGCGGACGGGCTCGCGGGGCCATTCGGCCCCCCCCCCCTACACACACACCTCCCTGACCCCAGCGCCAGGTGACCCAGCGCTGGGCGTGGGGACGAGGACTCGGAGCTACAGAAAGCCACGGGCCAGGCCGGACTCCGTGGAGACCGGTCCCCAGCGCCCTGGGGTCCCCGCTGCTGCCACACCGGGGCGCGGGTGCGAGCCGGGTAGAGGTGTCGTTCTCGTCGGGTGCGCGGTGCGCGGCCCTGGGCACCTCCGTCCCGGGGGTCCGCCGAGCCCGGAGCACCGCCCCTCGCCCCGTCATTACATTTGAGACAGAGGAGCCTCTCGGAATCTCACCCTTCACTTTTCCTCCCTTCCTATCCGTCCATCTCGACCCGCTATGTTTCCATTGTGGAATATTTTTGGGGGGAGGGGAGTGGGGTAGGGGGGGAAGAGGCTGTGAACTTACATAAGTGAGGTTGACTGACCAACCATCGCAGCCTTTGCAAAAGCACCTCTCGCAGCCCTTAACGAGCCTAGTTCCCGTTTAGCGCTCACCAAATCCAGCCCAAGAATTCGGGGAGCCAGTCACCCTTCCCCAGAGCTGACTGCACACATTCCTGTAAGATGCCTGATGGGTTTTGTACTTGTCAGTTTTACTGACTGTATGCTCCTTCTGTGCTTTTTCCTGAAACATGATTGGGTGGCACGTGTTTTGACTTTCTCTCTCCCGCCCCCCCTCACCGGGAAATAAGGAGGAAAAAAAACGGGTTACAGAAGCACGCTTGTTTTTCAACAATCAGAAAGTACAGCTTTGCAAACAAAACGCCACAGGGTTTGTCCTTTATGTGAGGGGTAGTCCGTTTGGTCTTTAACCCTCCGCTGATTGTTGTCAGTATTCATGTCTTCATCTTGGGTGTGCCTTGCACTTAGGATAGGCCTGTGTGTATTTTCCAAGCGCACTTCTCTCTACAGAGCCTAACAGTCAGATCTGGGAATAGCAAGGCCTTTCATTTATCAGCTCCAAATAGCTAGAAAGTCACAGCTTTGTAGAAGCCTTTATTTAGAAGCGCCTGATGACTATGGTCTGGGTGTCTTTTTTCAAGATGATGTGCGAGGTGATGCCAACCATCAGTGAAGCAGAAGGCCCCCCGGGAGGAAGTGGGAGCCAAGGGTCCAGCTCCCCTTCACAGCCAGATGCAGATTCACATTTTGAACAGTTGATGGTCTCCATGCTGGAAGAGAGGGACCGTCTTCTCGACACGCTGAGAGAGACCCAAGAAACGCTGGCATTAACCCAGGGGAAACTGCACGAGGTTGGTCACGAAAGAGATTCCTTGCAGAGGCAGCTTAATACCGCGCTTCCACAGGTAAGGATGACTTTCCCCTGCAGGTTTTTGTCTAAAGGCTTTTTTGGGGGGTGCCGCTATTTTAGATGTGTGTTTTCCCATCATCACTTGTGCAGTGGTTCTGTTATTTGTAAGTCACGTACAGATAAAGTTCCTGAGAGATTAAACTTCTTAGCTAGAGCGAACTGTGGTGTACTGTCAAGTCCTGTGAAGACACCTTATCGGTCCTGTTTGTCTCTCTGCGGGGAGCAGCAGAAGGAGCCGCCTAGATTTGGAGGAGCACTGCAGAGTTTTGGAAAAAAGGGCCACCAAGGAACCAGTCTCCGTGGTGCCTTCCGTCTTGTTGCCGTAAGCCTTTCCCCTCCTGATCGTGCGACTCCATGGCTTGTATCAAGTATTTCCAGTTTCCTAATGCAGTGTCCTGGACAAATGGAATGGCTCTCCCAGGAAGAATATATTTACAGTCTGCCTTTCTCAGCAGCCAGGTGCTTTGTAAGTCAAGTTTGTTTCAGGGGGTAGAAGACTGAAGATGGGTTCCTTTGGCACTTTCTCTTTAGCAGCTGAAAATTATAAAGCTCACAGTCACAGCAAGGTTTTTCATCTAAGGGTACTGCGTTTGGAGCTGTGTTTCCAGGCCTTTTCTTGTGGCGCTGAGTGAGGATCTAATGATAGGTGCAGGGAGGTGTCAGCTGAAGACTGTGAGGTGGGTGGCGCAGAGTATAGCGGGAGACGTGAAGGTTCCTTGGGTGTTTATGGCTGCGGAGGTGCCATTTGACTTACTCATAACAGGTGCCTTTATGCTGGTGTCAGGTAGACCTGAATAAGCATGCGTGCATTCTCTCGTGATGGGTCTGCAGTGGTAAATTAGTAAATGAATAATTACTAGCCTTAATGCATTTCTTGGCTTTCGTCAAGTCTCCTGAAAGATTGATATGCCAAATATTTGGATTTCCTCTTTAGCAACAAGAATTTGATGTCAGTGCTATAACGTTCCTTCTCTCTCAGATGTGAGAATCATGGAAGTTTTTTTCGCATTTGAGTCTTGTAGATTACCAGGTTTGTTTGGGTCCAACTTTATCATCAGTACCACTGTCTCTAGGAGATAGTGAAGGACTGGTGTGCTGCAGCCCACAGGGTCACAAAGAGCTGGACACGACTTGGACTGAACCACCCCCCCACCCCACCACAGGCTTTGAAGGATGGCCCAAGTTGTGCCTTACTGGGACTTCGTTGTAGCATTTGTAAGTCTTCTCAGTCCTTTGGCGTTTTTCTTTTGTTTTTTCATAGTCGTATTTGTCTTCTCGTAATTTGAGGTGCATCCGTGGACGCGTAGTTTTTTGAAGGGATGAGCACAAGGCCGAAACAGGGAAGGGCCGGGACTTCTGTCAAGTCCAGCCTCGTGCCGCGGAGGCGGCCGCGCCAGCATTGGCACAGTTGCTCAGTGGTCTGTTTCCAGCTGCCGCTCCGTGGTGTAGCCTGGAAATGCCTTGTTGAGTGAAGAAGGCGATGATGTCACCGCTCACCTGCTGAGAACCTGAGCCCAGCGTTTTAGAAACACGGGAAGCAGTAAGGAAGCCTTATGTGGATCCTGCCCTTTCTTGGCATTTCTAGTCTGTGTGGTGGCTCATTGTGTGATCAGGTAGGCGTGTGAATTTACTCCTGCCAGATTATGTAGGAAGTAACAATGTACTTAAAAACTTTATTGTAACAGAACATAGGTCAGAAAAATTCACACATAAGTGTGCATTGCAGTGACTTTTCACTCAGTGAGCACACTCTTGTAATTACTGCCCAGGCCAAGAAAAGAACATTCTCAGGCTGCCCAGAGGCCCCTCCCACCCGCTCCCAGTATCTCTCCCAGAGCTAACCGTAGTCTTTTCATCATTGATTAATTTGACATGTTCTTGACTTTATGTAAATGGAAGTAATATGTGTATTTTATTTCTTGATTCTTAAGTTCAACATTATCTTTGTGAGCTCTCTCCATGTAGGTCTGTTTGTTCTCATCTGCTATGTAACCCAGTGTATGAATGTACCACAGGGCTTCCCAGACGGCTCGGTGGTAAAGAACCCACCTGCCAGTCCAGGAGACGCGGGTTTGATCCCTAGGTAGGGGAAGTTTCCTAGAGTAGGAGATGGCAACCCACTCCAGTATTCTTGCCTGGAAAATGCCATGGACAGAGGAGCCTGGTGGGCTGCAGTCCATGGGGTCGCAGAGAGTTGGACGTGACTGAGCAACTGAGCACACACATGAATGTCCCATGATTTATTCTTTCTGTCATTCATGGGTATCTGAGTTGTCTCTAGGTTTTACAGATGCTGCCCTGAATGTTCTTACTTGCTTTTTGGTGCAGATGTGTACGCATTTCTGTTGGGTGTGTTCAGAGGCGTAGCACTGCCAGGGGATGGAGAGTGTTCTGCCCGAGGTGGTGGTGCTGACTGTGGTCACGCCCCCGCCCCGTGTGAGCCTCTGGGGTGTGGAGCAGAACGCCCCTTGCTGTCTTTGGTTCTGGTTGTCACTGTCGGGCGTGTTGAGCAGTTGCAGCTCGGGGGGGTGGGAACCTGCTACTCCCCGTCCATCCCCGAAGCACACCCCCACAAGCAGGCAGAGCCCCTGCTCCTGTGGGCGTTGCTTGGCCATTTGTGTGCCTTTTCTGATGAAGTAATTGTCTTCTGCCCATTCTTCAGTTGGATTGTCTGTTTGTTTCTTGTTGATTGTAGGAGTTCCTTTTCTGCGTTCTGAGTACATGCACACATGGCAGGGTTTTTTTTACTTTCTTGAGTGTGTTGGCCTTTACTCTCTCAGTGGTATCCGTTAAAAAATATAATGTCTCATCTTAATGTATCCCAGGTGATCAGTCTTTTCAGTAATATTTAATGCACTGGTGGCCATTGAAAGATATTAACATGAGGCTGCATGAAGATACTATCTTGTAAAAGCTTTATTGTTTATCTTTTACAGTTGGATCGGTAATCTGTCTGAAATCGGTGTTTGTTTATGGTGTGAGATAGGGGCCTCGATTCCTTTTTTTGTCCTTTGAGTGTATGGGTATCCAGTTGTAATTTTCTTTTTTTAAACTCTGCTTTGCCCAGTGTCGTCTCCGCTATGAACCACGTGGCGGGAAAGGTGTGGGTCTGTTTTGACCCTCCTCTCTTCATTAATCTTGTTGTCTTTTTTGCACAAACACCACGCTGTCTGAATTCCCGTTGATTTAGTCAGTCTTCATATCTGGTAATTTATATCCTACAGCTGAATCCTTATTCAGTATTACCTTGGGTAATCTTGACCCTTTGCATTTTCAGATAAGTTTTAGAATCTACTTGGCCATCTTTCCCTAGAAAATGCTGGGATTTTAATTAAGTTTGAATTTAAGTTTAATTTGTTGACCAGTGTGGAAGAAATGACATCTTTTTAATGTTGTTCTTATAATCCTTGAACACAGTATATAAGTTTATAGTTTGCTGTATGTCTTGTACATGTTTAATTAGATATCTGATATTTTCAATGGCATTATAAATTACTAATATGTACAGATAGAGTTGATTTTTCTATATTCACTTGCTGAATCCATTTATTTCAAATAATTCTTCTTGTATTTTTTTATGTATACACAATTATGTCTGCAAGTAAGTGCTTTTCCCCCCTTTCCAAGTGTGATAACCCTTTTCTTTTCCTGCCTTGTTGTCCGGACAAGGATCTCTAGCACAGTGGTGAACAGAAGTGGTGAGAACAGGCATCCTTGTCTCTTTCCCATTATCAGAGGAAAAGCTTTCAGTATTTCACCATCACATATGATGTTAGCTTTTTTGTGGCTATTTTCATCAAAATATGTAAATTTGCCTGTTAGTTTGATAAGAGTTTTTTTTCAGTCATGAACTAAAATTAAATTTTCTTAAGTTTATTTTCTGCAGATTTTGAAACAGGTGATTTTTCTTTTATGTGGTGATTTAACTTTTAAAAAATTTTGTGGTTCTGAAACAATCCCAACCTGATCTCGATGTATTCTCCTTTTGTTGGACTTTATTTGTTAGTGTTTTATTTAGGATTATTTCATCTATACTGAGAGTCTGTAATACTACTTTCTTGTACTTCTTTTCCTTGTTGGGTTTAGTATCACAGTTATGCTCGTCTTATAAAACAAGGTGGAGAGTGTTCCTTGTTTAACCCGAAAATTCCTGTGAGATTGTGATTTTCTTTCCTAGATTTTTGGAAGAATTGATTGGCAAAACTAGTTGCTTTCATTGTGGGGAGGCTTTTAATTTCAGATTTAATTCTTTTCATGCAAGTAAAATTGTCTGGTTTTGTGTGTCTTCTTGGGTCTGTTTAGGTAAGCATTTCCCCCTGCTAGGAGTTATTGAGGCCACCAGACTCTCCAGTTAGTAAGTGAACTGTGGTTCATACCATCTTTCTTATCTGCAGGATGTGTTGTCTCCCCTTTTAAAAATCCCTGATACTGCTGATTTGTGCTTTGTCTCTTTTTCTTAATCAGTCTCTCTAGTTTTATCAGTTTTATTAGTCCTTTCAAAGAGCCAACTTTTGGCTCTGTTTTAAAAAAACTTCATATTTGTTTTCTGTTTCTGTATTTTCTGCTCCTTTTTTTCCCATCTGCCTTGTGTTTCATTTGCTGTTCTTTTTTTCTGGTTTCTTGGGATAGAGGCTTAATTGATTTATAGCCTTCCTTCTTTTCCAGTATATGTGTTTAAGTTACTCTCTAAACACAGTTCGTTGCATCCCACAAATTTGAATAAGCCAAGTGTTCATTTATCTTTTATGTAAGAGTATTTTCTAATTTTCGTTGTGTCTTTTAAAAGTGTTAGTCGCTAAGTTCTTAGAGAGGCTGTCCTTTACCTCGCCGGTGTTTGGGGAGGTCGCCGCGCGGCCCTCTCTGGATTTCTACCCTACTCCACGAGGGGCCCCGTCGCAGTCTTTTCCGGCTGCTGTTACGAATGCCCCAGACCAGCTGGTGGGCAGCAGAAGCCTGCTGCTTATCGTGCTGGAGGCTGGCAAGTCCCAGGACGAA